TCCCTCTGGATGCCATCCCATCCCTCTGGCAAATATCTGGGAATCTGCTTGGACACAAAGAGCAACTGCCATGAAATAATGCACATCTGTGCTAGGAAATGCTCTGATCTTCCAGAACAAGGGCATAGGACAGAAACCGCTTGAGGAGTGACCTTGCAGCAGGCTGGGAAGGTGCCTGGAGCGTGGTGGCTGTCACTGGCCAAATCCATGATGTTCTCACTCCCATAAAGGCTTGAATACGATAAAAGAGGTTTTCTGCACTGCCTCCCTCAAAATGACTGGGTTTGGCTCTTTCTTAAATAAGACACCTATGTCCAAAAGCAACAGTGGCAGAAAGCTACCCAGAATTGGGTTTTGCTCAGCTGAAATGACTGGAGGAATTATTAAGGGCAGAATCTGTAGGTGCTAAAAATAAAGGGAAACGGGGAGGATCAAGTGGGTGAAGGGAAGCAGGCGGTGGGCTTGGTAAGGAACAGTTAATCACAAAGCTGACGGAGAATAAAGGAGCAAAGAAACGTCAGTCCTGAAGGAGATTAGGAGAGGACTCAGAAATTAATATAAAGCAAGCTTTTTTCATAACCCTTATGTTATCTGCTTCATCTCTTCAAGTTCTGCAGAACTGGAATTGACGGATTTTCACATCCTTCTGTTTGGTTCACTTTGTTATTAAAGCCGAGCATTATTTTTGGCCTGGCGCGAAACTCGTAATCTGAATTTAATATGGGAATAGAGCTTAAAAATCAGCAACGGCTTGGCTTTAAAAAGAGCAAAACCAAAACCAATACCAAACAAAACTCACCCAACTCATAAAAAAATCCCCAAAATCCCCATGTGGGAACAGGATACACTTGCTTTTCAAGATAAGTTGATGGTTTCAGTGCAGTGTAAATACAGGGGGGTGGAAGGAGCAAAGCATAAGTTCAAGTGTGAGTTGCTGATGTGCTGCAGCAGAAAAACAAGTGTGAAGTGCTGGGTACATCATCTCCATTACTGTATTTTACTTTCAGGAATGTAGATTTCTGTAATATAGGCAGTAAAACTGTTATTCACTATATTTACGTGTTAACAAAAACCCCTTTTGTTTTAAACTTTTCCATTAGTCAGAATTTACCAAATCAAGTATGGCTTGATATGCAGGATCGATTTCTATTTTAAACACACTCACACAGTGTATTTTTGTTTTTAGCGTATAAACCCGTTGGTAAGATAGGAGAGGGGACATTTTCGGATGTCCTGAAGGTCCTGAATCTTAGGGATGGAAAATACTATGCGTGCAAAGTCATGAAGCAACATTTTGAAAGGTATGTATAATTCATCGCAGTACTACAGAAAATCTCATTGCAATTCAGTGGGGAAAGGGGAAATCACGACTAAGTGCAGGTTTTTGAATAGGCGTGTATTAAAATAGGGAAAGGGAGCTCTGCTGCTGATTCTGGCACTGGGGTTATTTCCTCGAGCACTCTAATGGATGTCATCGTCTGCACTAAATGCTGCCTGGCCAAGAAGAATGAGCACTAAATAGTTGGTTTCTGCCTTTCCAAATGCAGGAATATACTTGTGCTGCTTTTCTTTTTGCTGTAAATAATAATAATATGAGGAAGAAATGTGTCAGTCCTTCCTCTGGACAATGCTTTTATCAGTCTTCCTTTAAAAATACAGTTGAAAACACTGTATTTCTCCTTATCCACATATAGCATTAGCTCTACTTCATAGTTGCATTTATATTTAATTATTTCCATCAGCAAGACACTGTGTGGTCATAAAACAGGTGCTTTGTATCCCCTAGGAAAATAGAGGGGAGGGCTGTGTGGAAGTAGACATAGACTTGATATTCTCCTCCAAATACGCAAGTGCCAAACCATGCCTTTTGGGTCACTGATTTTGTATTCTCCATTAAATATCTTAATGGGACACGTTTGTACATAGAAAGTAAAAGAGGACATTTTGCTCCTAGGTGAGATTTCACAATGTAACTCAGAGCTTCAAAGACTAAAGAAAACTGGAGCTTTGAAAGAAATACTGTAAAAAAAGAGATAATACAACTAACTTCAATTAATGTGGCTTCTCATTCTCTGCTGTGCTGCTGGAGAACTGTTGGTCCATTTATACATTACCTACAACTGCCCAAATAGTCCAGTTTATGATCTTGGCTTCCTGCTTCCTCCCCAGAGTTTCTAAAGCGCATAGTTTCATTATTTATTAAAGTCTAGGAGGGCAACAGAATAATTAAATAGTTGAATAACACCGATTTTTCATGGAAGAGGATACCATCAAAAGTTGAGTTTAAATGTTAAATTTGTCAAGGCTAAATTGTCACGTTTGGTGTCGTTCTGAGCTGTAGGTGGGATCTATGCTACACCAGTGCAGAATAATTATATTATAATACTAATTATAATTCTTCCCTTCAATTATAATCCAGTCCCAGATTGCAAGTCAGTCTTCCCCTTTTCTTTTTAATTCATCTTTAGTATGGAGAAAGTGAATAATCTGGAAGAAATACGAGTCCTAAGTAAGCTGAGTCCGCATCCCAATATCGTGACATTATATGAAGTGATTTTGTAAGTATGGTGCATCCATTTCTTTCTTCCTCATTTCTTTATTTGTATGCTACTCAGTAACCTTTGGGTCTAGACACAACCTGTAGGCACTTAACCAGCTCTTTACTCCAACAGAAAGAAAAATACCCAACATATTTGTCAAAGTCTTTATGCCTTTTTTGTTAAGAAAATCTGAGGTAGCTCTCACTTTCTCTGGCTCTTTTGCAACAGACTAAAACTATTTCAACATCAGTATTAAAATTACAGACTAGATATGTTTTAAGCATAACCAAGCTTAATATCCTAACATGTAATGCTGGGGATTTCAACCCATGTCCCATATCCAGTTGCCTGCACAACGTCGTGTTGTCTGCCTCTGCAGTTTAAGTACCTTGTGCTATGCTGTATACAAATCAACACGTAAATGTTATTTCTAGCTTAAAATCTCCCTGTTTCTTTCTTCAGTGATAAAAAAGCTGGCACCGTTTCACTGATACTTGAACTGATGGGCACGAGCATTTATGAGTTGATAAAAGGTATGTTGTATATGCTTAAGGAACACAAGAAACCTCGTGTAGATCACAAAGTGGAATTAATTATTTTTCACTTGATTGTTCACCATTCCATATTATAAAATTCAGAGGGAAATTTTGGGCTGTACTGCTTTACTCTTCTTTTTTTTAAAATTTCCAGTGCAATATACCCACTTGCTTAAAGTGTGAATGTATGCAGCTTTCTAAGGAGTTGGGTCAATGGCCATCTACTTCTACAGTCAAACTTTACATCAAAATAGGGAAACAACCTTGACTGCAAAACGCAGAATAACTGCTTTATGTAACAAAAAATACAACTTAAATAGGTTATTTGTTATAAAGATCCTGTCCTTCATTTACAAAAAATCAGAATATTTAGGGGTTTGGGTTTGGTTTCTTTTACCTCAGAGTATTTGCTTTCATTTGGTTACATTTCTCAGTGTTTCTCTCATCCTTTTCACGTGAAAAAGCCTGCCATATTAAGCATTATATGCAGGTGGAAAGTAGTCTCAAAGTTTCAGTCTGTTCTGCTATATATTTTAATTTTAAAATACAGTTCTTATGAAAGTCGAGTTTTCCATAAGAAAATTGTTTTCCTGCCACTTAGTTTTAAAAACCTCCTTTTTTAGGGCATGGTGAATCAGTTCAAAATGAAATCTGTGTTCAGGTGTAATCAGAAATGCTGCAGTTAGGGGTTAGCTGAACTTTAATGGGTCTGCCTGAACTGTGCATTGTTGGTTCTGGGTGATGGTAAATCATGGTCTGGATTTTGAGTCTGGGCTGTGTTTGTGTCTTTCACCTTGTGCAAGCTGGTGGCACATGAGGTGGAGCTCGCCAAGCCATGGAATGGGAAAATAAACAACAGATTCCTATGGACATTATAATTTTTTAAGATTATATTTTAAATATTAAAGGATTTAATTTGTATTAAGTGGTTTGCATTTTTCAGAAATTAATTTTGGAGTTTCAAAGCAGACGTATCAACACCACCATTTCCTAGGAGGCAGGAATAGGTTTTTTTATTGGTTTTCTCCCCCAAGCAACTCTACTTGTGGCTCATTGCAAAGCCAAGAAGTACGGCAAAAATCCCAAGGATGCAATTAAACTGCAAAATTAAACACTTACTGACTGAGGACATCTTGATGACAATGGCGAGTAGAAGGAGCTCCCTTTGGTCAGAGTTGTGACTTGCAGTGCATTACTCATTTGTAGAACAAGGAAATTGTGTTCATTAGCCGTGCTCTGTCGCAAAACAGTTTTCAGAGCGTGCAAAAGTGGTTGTATTTCAGATGATTTGTAGTCTTTTGTGTATACCTCTACAGCTTGGCATTTTCTGACTACGAATCTTTCAAAATGAAATTTAATATAGGTGCAGAACAACTTTAAAGAGCTTTAAGATTGAAAAGTTTACAGGTAAAGTTTTGTATGAAATTTTGCAATGAAAAACTTGAAGCAGGGGTTGACTGCAAATGAATTTCTAATTTAACAAGGGGTATGGAGACACTTCTGTAATTAGGAGGACACTTCACTGTTATGCTTCTATGTGGAAAATTGAACTTTTTGGGGTTTTTTTCCTTAACAAACTGACAGGTTCATGTTATTTCAATGAAGACAGGGCTATCTGTCTTTACACAAAGTCATAATACTCTTGCTATTAATTTATAGTGGCATCACAAGTCATTTAGTAACTGAAAAACAGTCTTGCCTTTTTTTTTAATCAGGAACAGTTTGGTCATTTAAAGTGATTAAAAAAATACAGCTCAGAGGGGAGGTTGCCCCAAGCAAAACCGGTTGTAGCCTCGAGTGCTACCGCCTTATGATTCACTTCATCATTGCTGCCAACTGCAGTTTTGTAATTGTAAATCTGGAAGTAGAAGAGCATCTGCGCCAGATTTTACTATCGACCTGTAATGAAAAACCAATCGAGCGCGGAGTATTTTTATTAAGGCCTGATTTCTTAAATACTGATAAGAATGGCAGTCGCTTTGAGGAAAGCATTTTATAAAAATCTGTTAATTTTAAATGACGAAAATCCTGATGTTGAAAGCACCGTGTTGAAAACTGAGGTAATAACACTACAGTTCCTGATGGAAATGGCACTCGGTGGCAAGTGCTTTGTTACCCAACCCCAGTCGGTGGAGTCAGTGGCTGGAGGAGGGCTGTGCGGGGAGGACACCCGTCCCGCTGGCTGCTAGGACTCAATGACTTACTGTCCTCGGCATCCTCCTCCTCCTCCTCCTCCTCCTCCTCCTCCTCGGCCAATTACTCATCCCGTTGCCATCGGGCACATCAGTACCTGCTTTGTTTTTCAAAAACGAGATCGTTTCTGCCTCCGTTGATGACATTGCAGCGTTATATAAAGGCATTACAGCGAGATTAAAAGGCCTTTGGAGCCCGTAAAATGAAAAAAAACGCGGAGTAGTTACTGCACGGCTCTGAAAAAGATAACTTTTAGAAGTGAATTTCTAAGTCTTTATTGCACCACAGCGATAGCAAGCTAAACTACAGCGGTTAACCTTTCATTTGCATTTGAATGTGAATCACAGTCGCTTAAACGTTGCGGGAACTTGAGGTGATTGATGGGAATCTTGAGCCTGAAGGACAGTTACTTTGTTTGGAGAGGAAATGAGATGTTTAGACGTGAAATATTGCAGTGCTGTTAGAACCCGGGGAAACAGACACTGCGATAAAAACCATGCAGTAAAAGCTCGGCAGATTACAGACGCAGTTGTTAGCTGAGCTATTCTGGTGCATACCAAAATCTAAATTATGCCTCGAGTTGAGTAGAAAATGGATTACAAAGGTAGGTGTAAATGCTAGAAATGAAAAAGGTGATAGCAATGCACTAGTGGAAACTGAAGAGTAATTTTGTTCCTGTTCTGATGTTCACTAAAAAGGACTTGTACAACTTGAACTTTAATTCTAGGAAGGACAAAGCCATTACCTGAAAAAAAAATTACGAACTACATGTACCAGTTATGCAAAGCCCTTGATTACATACATAGGTAAGAGACCTGGATGAGCAACAGCTTTACAGTAAATATGTTGTACACTTATTTCAGGGTTGTCTGGGGCAGCAGCCTGCTGCAGGGAGGAAAAGGCCGATGCCCAGATGCATGTTTGGCTGTAGCAGAGGCCTAGCAAGCAAAATTCAGTATTTTTTTTTACTATGCTGTCAATAAGTTTGAAGAAAGGGTTTGTTTCTTGAAGTATTTGTTTTTTTACTAACAATTGGAAGTACTGGTAATGTTTCTGTTCTCACTGAACTCTTCCCTCTGGTGTGTTTGTGTTGGTACAGAAATGGGATATTTCACAGAGACATCAAACCGGAAAACATCTTAATAAAGGTAACTCATTTTCTGTGAGAATATGTAACTGACAGTGAGGTACAGCAGTGTTTTTCTCTTTTGCTCTGAGAAACTAATGTTTCTTCATGACTAAAAGAACAGGTTTTAAAAATACATAGACAGTTATCTGTAATACCATATTCCTGATCTAGAGGAATGCACAACCAAGTGTGTTATTGGCCAGAACCTGAGGTGAACAAGATATGTGTTCATCCAATCTAAAAACCTGTTCTTTACCCTCTCTTAATGTGTGTTTTCCTTGCTGTGTCCACCTAGAAACAAGAGCTAGGGATCAGCTGTGCAGCTCTGTCTGCCTGTACTCAGTTCCTACATTTAGGGGCAGTTATCCATACCAAAGAGAGCAGAAGGCATTAGAATACTGCAACTCAGAATATTTCTTCATTGAAATGGCTGAAGCGCGAGGATTTCCAAATTCAGTTTATGAAATAATTTATTTCCTGGAGAGAATTTTTTTTCTTTTAAGTGTACGGGAGAAGCCGTTACAAGGAGAAGCCAAAGCCGCCTCTTGTGTCACTGCTAAACTCAAGGAAAATGACTTAATCCAGATGCCCTATTTAGCAGTAACAGTCCGTGTGCTTCTCAATTGACTCTTAGCTCTTTCTTCTAACGATGTGCAGAGCGGTATTTGCACAAATTATGGGACACGGATATCTCCAAGCCTGGAGCTACTCACTACTTAAATGCAGTTTTACTGCTAAAATACCACCTCTGGGAGGTCTGAAGTTTATTCTTAAAGTAATCTGCGATTTCTTTTACGATGACTACTTCACACGTTGAAGGAAATTCTTTGAATATTGAAGCATTTCTAATTTGTCCAAATACTTCTTTTACTTTTGCAGAAGAATACCCTGAAGTTAGGAGATTTTGGATCGTGCAGGAGTGACCATTCAGAGCAGCCGTACACAGAATACATCTCCACGCGCTGGTACCGAGCACCTGAATGCTTGCTTACGACCGGCTACTATGGTTGCAAGATCGATATCTGGAGTGCTGGCTGCGTTTTCTATGAAATCACAAGGTACAGTGTTCAGTGGAGGGTCTCGCTTAGTATTAATTGAGAAAATCAAAGGTGAAGAGCTTAAATAAGGAGCTCGCATGGGAAATCAGTTCTGGGCCCCTCACTATAAGAAGGATGTTGAGATTCTGGAGCGTGTTCAGAGAAGAGCCACAAGGATGGGCAGGGCTCTGGAGAACAAGCCTGATGAGGAGCGGCTGAGGGAACTGGGCTTGTTTAGCCTGGAGAAGAGAAGGCTGAGGGGAGACCTCATCACCACCTACAACTGCCTCAAGGGAGCTTGTAGAGAGGTGGGTGCTGGGCTCTTCTCCCAGGTGATGGGGGATAGAACAAGGGGAAACGGCACCAAGCTGTGCCAAGGGAGGTTCAGGTCAGAGATAAGGAGGAAGTTCTTTACTGAGAGGGTCGTCAGAAGCTGGCACAGGCTGCCCAGGGAGGTGGTGGAGTCACCATCCCTGGATGTGTTTAAAGAGCGGGTAGATGAGGTACTTAAGGATATGGTTTAGGGAGTAGACCGGAACGGTTGGACGTGATGATCTCAGAGGGCTTTTCCAACCGAGCGATTCTGTGATTCTGTGAAATAGCAGCTTCGTTATCATGGTTCTGTGCTGAGTCCGCAGGGTTTGGGAGGCAAAGTCCTGTCTCTTCACCCTACACCAGGTTAGTTACAGCAGTGGGATGTTCGAGACAACACAGTACCAACAAAAACGTTATTTATAAGGAAAAAGAACATATTTGATCACTTGGTTGTTTTGTTGTTTGGGGTTTTTTCCCCCTGTTGGCTTCATATTTGAGTTTGGTAAAAATTGCTATTATCTGCTTTATCTCTGAGTAGTCCGGCTCATTTCCTGGCACAAGCATCGTTTAGGCTAGATATGAGGAGGAATTTCTTGACTGAAAGAGTGGTCAAGCACTGGAAGGGGCTGTCCAGGGAGGTGCTGGAGTCACCATCCCTGGAGGGGTTTAAAAGACCAGGAGATGTCGTGCTTAGGGACAGGGTCTAGTGGCAGAGTTAGGGCTGGTTCAGTGGTTGGACCTGATGATCTTAAAGGTCTTTTCCAGCCAAAACCATTCTGTGATCCTATTGCTGACTATCCTCAATCTTGTTAATGCACTTAAAGTTTTTCTCTCTTTTTTGATTTACTATTCTGCAAAACCAGAGGAGATTAGAGAAGACACCCCCTCTGATTTACTACTTCTATTTATAATATAGTATATTTATGACCCTTGTGCCAGGGCATTATGTCCTGGAATATCCTGAAGTCAGATTCTGATGAAGGAAGAGTTCAGGAAAACCCAGATTCAAGTCCCTTGAGCTTTTTGGTGATGCTGACACTGTAACTCAAAAAATTTGTCATTAATCTCCAAGAAAAAAACAAAAATACCCACCATGAGTATTTCTCCAGTATCTCTGTGCCCTAGCAACAGCAGCAGCTCTTCTTTATCCTCCTCCCACGCTGCTGTCTCTGATCCGCAACCAGGAGTGGTAACATTTGCTTTGCTGCTTTTCCTCCTCCTCCACAACGCGAGCGCAGCTGCCACCATCGCCAGCACCTTAAATCACAACCCTTCTGCTGTGCCTGCTCGCTGCCACTGTGGTCAGCAAACTCTTAACAGAAAAATCCCAAGTGTGGCAGTTCTCTTGCAAGGGAAATTGGGATAAAAAGCTGTAAAAATGCCTTGGTTTTTCCATTTCCATTTCAATCAGGTGGGCTTTGAAGTTTGGCAAGAAAATTACATGCTGCAAACTGAAGTTTTCTTAGGGCAAAGCCCCTTAAAGATATTTCCTCATCATTTTGGCTTCGTGTGACAAATTTCATTCTTTGCAATCACTGCACATTTTTGGAGACCTGACAGATGTGTTCAGAGAGAAATGAGAGATATTTATTGGAAATTACTGAATTAAAAAAGACACAGCCTTGCCAAGCTAAAGGAGGTTATGGTCTGTAGCATGTCACGGGTTTTGCCATTGAACATCTGCATAAGCCTTTATGCTTTAGACCATGTTGTGTGAGAATTTATAGTCTTTTAGTCAGCCCCATACTTATCTTTCAAATCTTGCTCTGTTCCTTATAAATCAGAGCTCCTGGAGTATATTTTTTAATGCATTGCACAGTTGTTACAGCTTCACATTTAGAGACAGCACAAAAGCTACTCCCAACTCCTTGTCTTGCTCGAGCTGCCCGACTCAAACCAGATCTCTTCTCCCCTTCCTCTACTCAAAGCTTTACAAAGGCACCCAGAGACGTGTGCAGCAGCTGTTGGACTGAATTTGCAAACAGCTACAAGGAGTTTCCTCCTCCTCCAGAGCGGGCTGACTGCATGGCTTCCAAGCATCACCTGGTGCCACTGAAGTGTTTCTCAAATCATACGCCCCAGGAAATGCTCTGCTAGCACGGAAAAAGGCAACATGTGCAAGAAGCAAATGCTCTTGGATCTAACTTGTTAAGTCAGATTGCTGTGTTGATGAAATGTTTTCAAGGACTCTGTGGAAGTTTTATATTAACGAGGATCCAGCTCAGGGATGCAGTTCAAACTCCCAGCTTGGCAGTGTTGCTGCTTGCAGAGGGCCTGTGTTTCTTATATATTTCTGTGTGCGTGCACAAGAGGGACTGCTTGACTCAGCTCTTAAAAATGAGGAAAACACACTGACTTGCTGCTTCACTAGAAGCAAACACAACCCCATATCCATTGCTTTTTGCCAGGAGGGATGTTTTCTTTACGTGTTTTCCCCCAAACCTGTGAGGAGAGCTCTCTGTTAAATAACCCAAACCATCCTTTCTGTCCAAAGGTTGTATTGATCTGCTGCTCACACGTTACTCTGCAGTTGTTGGCTGGTATTAAAGTGTCCACAAATGAATAATCCTAAAATTTATCTTCTTAAATGATTTCTTTAAGCAAAATGGCAGCTATGCTCTTGAACTAGTTTACTTGTATGTTCTCTAACACCACCTCTTACCTTGCAGTTTAGAGCCCCTCTTTCCTGGATCCAATGAGCTGGACCAAATTTCCATAATCCATGACGTTCTAGGCACCCCTCCTAGCAAAACTCTCAACAAGTTCAAGCAGTAAGTATGCACTCCCACAGCTATTCATCTCACTGTTTCAGTAAGTTACAACTGGGTGCAACTCCTGCTCAGGGAACCACCACAAAAATCAAATTCTGACCGAAGAGCGGTGGTGTCTTCCATCCCTTCGTGATCCTCGTAGGCAGAGCACAGGAGATCTGAGCCTGTATCAATCTTCTCTGCCCTTTTATTTCCACAATATCCTTAAGGCCAATGGCATAACTTGTTAGGAAATAAAACACTTTTTTCCCCAGTATGACTTACACATCCCTCATACATCACTACCTAAATCAGATGAGAGTCGTTTTTCTCAGTTAATTGTAATTATCTGTGAATATTCCTGAACAACTGTTTGTTCTCACCTTGCTTCCCACAGGTCAAGATTTACGAGCTTTGATTTCCCCTATAAAAAAGGAATGGGAATCCCTCCCCTTGTGAACAGTTTGTCTCCCCAAGGCTTCTCACTCCTGTGTGCCATGATAGAATACGACCCTGATGAGAGAATCGCTGCCCACCAGGCCTTACAGCACCCTTATTTTCATGAACTCCGGCAAGTGACTTCAAATCCCTTCAGTCTTAAAGGCAAAAATTAAGACATAGTGGGAGTGCTGTGTGTGCATTACTTAATGTGGACTGACGTGAAGGTTGCTCACAGTGCCAGTACTTAGTTTGCAATGCAATGAATGTAATTCAGCTAACTTAATTCTTTGTACTGAGTCCAAACTTCCCCTAAAGCACAACTGAGGTTTTTATCTTTTATTTTCTTTCCCCCCAACTTTTTAGGGCAGCTGAGAGGCAAGCTTTGGCCACGCACATAGAAGTCAGACTTTCAGGAAATATGGCAGGGCAAATACCTCTGCATCCGTGGCAGATCCCAAAGGAAAGTCAAAGACAGGTAATGTTGAAGTGGAAGAACTGTCAGCCCATTTAGGGACAGTAACTGGTGACACGGAGCTCATTAGCGAGAACCAAACGTTTGACTGAAGGTGATCACTGGGTTGTGTTCAGTCTGGCAAACACTGATTTATTGGGTCTAGTGCAGCTCTACCCACTGCAAACCCTGCACATCGTGAGTTAGGATTGGGAAGCTGTGGCACCACTTGATCCCTCCAGCAGAGGTTGCCACAGTTGCTGTTACTCAGAGGGTCAGTTCCACTTTTTTAAACAAAAATATCATCGTCCTCCTTTTGCTGCCTGCCTCTGAGTTAAAAAGTTGTACAGATGAAGTTGTACCAGACAGAAATTGTGCTTTTGCCTTTTCAGTCTACATTTGGAACAAGTAATTTAAAAAAAAACCCTTTATTATTCTGTATTTAGATGGTATCTGGGAGAAGCCTAAACATATATTTGACACTGGAAATGAAAACATTAAGATATGATTAAAAATTCTGGCAAACTAAAACTTTGTTTTCGAGCTACGTGAAGAATGCTCAACGTATTCACTCCTGAGTGTTTGCTGTATCTGCAAAGTGAGCTAGAAACCAGTGCGACAAGAAAGAGTCTCAAATACAGGTTTTTCACACACAAAACCCCAAATTACAGTAGCAAAAAAATTACTATGAATTCTTTTCTGCTGTGCATTTAACTTGAAGGCATGAACTCTCCTGTGTGACTGCTCTGGTGATCCTGCTCTGGCAGGGGTTGCACTGGGCGAGCTTTCCAGGTCCCTTCCCACTCCTCATATTCTGTGATCCTGTGAACTCTCCTTCCACAGGAGCAGCCACTTTCTGCACCAGTTTAGTTCTGGGCTTTGTCAATGTGGGCTTTGTAAGAAGTTGTGAGAAACATCGAGAGAGAGTAATTCAGAAAATAATTAGCTGAAGTAGTATTTGCCTGAGCTATTTTTTTATATTATTTGGATTTTCTCTTTTAATTGTCTTCCTTAAGATGTTCGCAGAAAGAAACTGAATCCTGTTTGTTTATTTTAAAAGCATTCTCTTAGGAAAGGCCAGGGAAAACCAAACCAGCACCACGGACCTTCTCATGGATTACCAGATTTTCCCAAACTCAGTCTTTCTGGACCAGCCATGTTGCCTTCATGCCCCGCTCCTGCATTGCCCTCCATCTGCTGGGCTCCTAAGAGAAGCGGAGCAATCCCCGTGTTCCAACCTGGTGGATTCCCTGGAGCACACGGCGAGGTACAGACTCGTCCCTCGCTCACTGAGGCGCAGCGGCGATACGTGTTTGACAAAGCGCGTCTCAGACCCATGCCGTTTCATCAACAGTCTGAGAAACAGAAGGCGCTTAAGTCTCCCCCAAAATATGTCCGCTTCCCGGTTGTAGACCGAAGAGGCGGAGGTTTCTGAGCACCTCCTGAGGTGCTTGGAGCAGGAGGAAATGCGCGATGGAGTGGTGGACACAGCTGCGCGTGCTCTGGTGGGGAGAGATCCAACCAGAGCAAGCGGGGCTGTGGTTTGTGTTGCTCTGAGGGTTTGTAGGAACCCCCCGGGCTGCGAGGGGCAGCAGTGTCTCATTAAAGTGTTGTTTGGCACAGCTCTCAGCCTCTTGTACTGAACTCTCTCTGGATTTTTCCCTAAGTAATATTTATTTTTTTCTAAAATAGAACCTGATGGAGGAGGAGGAGGTTGGTTAAAAATAACACGAAAGGATTCTTTGAGCTCCAGCGTTAGGAGTCTCATTGTATTCTACAGTATTAGGACTCTAATCTAGTGTACAAAATACAACTTTTCATATTACATTAGAAATGACAGCGAACTTTTGTATCTTTATATATAAAATTCTTTTATTTTTCAGTCAGTGCTGGAAAGTATTCCCCTAACTTCAACCTCAAGTCTTACTGAGGATGTGCAGCTTATACAATCATACAAGAGACTCGATTCTGATGCAGTTTCTCTAACTGCTGCATATATGTAATATTTTTTATACAGTTATCATCTGGCTAAAAGCTAAAGCAATTTTTTATCTGATTCAACATAAAAATTGTCACAGTGTTCCTCCAGCCATCGATGTTACTCTTAATCCAAAGTTTGAGCAGGGACTGATACTGCAGCAGTTGTTTGAAAGAGCAGTAAATGCAGATATCTGATGTTCCAGAAATTCTGTACCCAGATCATCAGTAACAATTTAATATCGTTCTGTTTCTTGTTGCTACAAAAGGGAAGAGTTAAAAGGCAGCATTTTTCTCTCACTTGGAAAGAGCAGCTATTGCAATTTGATCCCATTGATTTTAAAACTCCCGAGATCTCCTAAAATTCTGCAATAAATAATTTGCAATATTTAAATTTGGTGGGGTGTTAAGGAACAGTTCTGCTATTTAAAAAAAAACAAATGAGTTTGTGCAGTTCAGCTGGGGCTTTAAAAATCTTCTGCCTACCAAGTACGGATGCAAGGCAGGTTTTTAAAATCACTTCTTGGGGGTTTTTGCTAGGTCTAGAAGTTGCTCTGCTCCTAACTGGTGAGTTCTGATCATAACGTGATCAGCTTCATTTCCAAACACCTCTGGGGCCGCTGCTGCCGCCCAAGATTTTCTGTGCAAGAAAGAAGTGCAAAGCAAGCCCTGAGGAGCAGGCGAGCAACCCCAATTCAAGATGGATGCTCTAAATCCAGTTTATTCTCATCAGGTGAGATGCAGGGCCAACAATGCAGGAAAATACACAGTAACATAGAAGGTTTTATACAAATAAGTCCTCCAGAGTAGAAGTGATGCCCGTTATGCTCCCAGCGCCCCTTCGGAGATTTTTTATTAGGCTGTGCATTGATGAAGATAATACGAATACGTCGCTGATGGAGATCTGAGAATTTTACTGACACCTTCCTGTCGTCTCTTCCTGGGAACCTCAACCACCACTGCTGACGTGGAAATATTTCAACTAAAAATCCCCTCCGATGGTGAACGCACGAGATACTTTCCTGCTTGCAAAAGTGTTCTTGCAAGTGTTTCCTTCTGTATTTAACATCTCAGGTAGGTAATTCTTCACACAGCAGGAAAGTGGTTGTTTTTTGTGAAAAAAGATGAAGTCAGAATTGTTTCTAAGTTTTAACTTGGAGAGAAAAGCCTACCAGAGCAGTAACTTGTATGGTAAAGTAAAATGCTTGTGTGGCACCAGTAATAACTTGTGTGGTACCAGGAATAATGCGTATGGTGCCAGGAATAGCGTGTGTGGTACCAGTAATAACTTGTATGGTACCAGGAATAGCTCACATGGCACCAGTAGTAACTTGTATGGTACCAGTAATAATGTGTATGGTACCAGTAATAGCTCGTATGGTACCAGTAATAACTTGTGTGGTACCAGTAATAACTTGTGTGGTACCAGTAATAATGTGTATGGTACCAGTAATAATGTGTATGGTACCAGTAACAGCTCGTATGGAGGCACCAGTAATAACTTGTATGGCACCAGTAACAGCTTGTATGGCACCAGTAACAGCTTGTATGGCACCAGTAATAACTTGTATGGTACCAGTAACAGCTTGTATGGCACCAGTAATAACTTGTATGGTACCAGTAACAGCTTGTATGGCACCAGTAATAACTTGTATGGTACCAGGAATAGCTCATATGGTACCAGTAATAATGTGTATGGTACCAATAACAGCTCGTATGGAGGCACCAGTAATAACTTGTATGGTACCAGTAATAATGTGTATGGCACCAGTAATAATGTGTATGGTACCAGTAACAGCTCATATGGAGGCACCAGTAACAGCTTGTATGGCACCAGTAACAGCTTGTATGGCACCAGTAATAACTTGTATGGTACCAGTAATAACTTGTATGGTACCAGTAACAGCTCGTATGGTACCAGTAATAACTTGTATGGCACCAGTAATAACTTGCATGGCACCAGTACTAACTTGTGTGGTACCAGTAACAGCTCGTATGGTACCAGTAATAACTTGTATGGCACCAGTAATAACTTGCGTGGCACCAGTAATAACTTGTGTGGTACCAGTAACAGCTCGTATGGCACCGGTACCTCTGCCACGCACTCCGTATCTGGGGCTGTCGGGCCGTTACAATGAAACCAGGCCATTTCAGCGGGTTGGTTTTGCTATGAAGAGTGGAAATGTGAAGTGAATGATCACATGGAAATGTTTTCTTCATTTATTTTCAAGTGGCTCTTGCACAGTTCGGTGCTTCACAGGCGTTTATTTTATAACAAAGTCTTTGCCATTTTACTTCTGCTAACGACTTGCACTGCTCCGGCTGTTGGCTGAGAAGGCAAACTGGAGTTTTCCCACCTGCTTTACTGTTAAAATAACCTCAACTTTCCACTGCAAACTGGCAAGTATTGTTTCTACCCTCATTCTTCCAGCTGAAATTCCTTTTGAGATCATCTGTGTTCCACTCATTTTTAATTTTTTTAACACAGTAGGAAACATTTATTTATTAGGAGCTGTCTCTGTAGCAGAAAACTCCAAGATCTTTCCAGGTAAGTTATTAATATCCCTTTTCTTCCTAAAATATTTCTTTTCCATATGGAATAAAGGGTGGGACGGGGCAGTTCAAGCTTCTAAATGACTGCCTAATAGTCCTGAAGAGGCTGCATAAACCACACAGACCCCTTGTATGTTGAACTACGAGGTGTAGCAGGGACAGACACACAAAGGGATGCGCGGTGGCTGCCATCATCACCCCAGCGTTGGGTACTGTGGGCCTTTCCCTGCTTTCTGTGCTTTTCCAGCTGAAGGAACAAAAGATCCTTCCAAGTAACTCCCTATTTTCTCACCTGCTTCATTTCAACTCAGATCCTATGAAGCACTGAGACAAAAGGGAGAACTCCACTGGTTTTCAGTGACGAGGTTTATCCGTATTTAACAGTTAAACCCGCTGCATTGATAAAATAAAACTTCTCAACTCTCACCCTGCTCAGTTGCAGTATTTTCCCCATTTCTTGTATTTTAGAAGACCGTAAATAGAGCAGAATTGTAAAGAGCAGCTCCATCTTTAACAAAGCAAACAATTTCAATGCTGGCTATAAACGGACGTGGCAGTTCCCTACGTGCTACCCGCAGCACAAGAACAAGACCATTGCAAGTGGCTGCTGTTGCTTTCCCCCAAAATTTTCATTCATTTACTGGAAAAAAAAAGGAACTTTTCATGCCTGCAGTTTCTTTGCAATGTCAACAATTCCACCCAGCTTTACCACTGGGGGTGCAGGATCCCCATGTCCACCCCATGTCCACCCGCAAGACTCAGCAAAAGCCCAACCATTGCTACAAGAATGTGTTGGTTTTGTGGGTTTTTTTTAAATCTTTACAAGAATTACTGAAAATGATACAAGTGTTGTGTTGCTGACTGATGGAAAATCATGTGTGTCCAAACAAGCAGCATTAAACTGCACAAATCCACGGCTACGTCCGTCTCCGTACGCTGATCAGTTCAAGAGCAATGAATTATGAATGAGCTGCCTGATTTAAGACAAAGAAAGTTGTCTCAAAACCGAATATAATCCGATTTTTTGACCTAATTTTGGCTTGCCGAGGCCGAAAGCGCACACAGCGACTGCTGGATCTTCCCCTTCACAGCTCCCAGGACAAACACACGGGACTACAAAATGACGATGCCAAAATCCTCGCCCCACCAAATCCTGTCTGCAGGATTTCCCCTGGATGGTGTCTTTGGAGACAAACCCTTAAGGACGAGACCAGAACGACGTTATTTCACTCTCCTAATCGAAATTCAGCAGTTTTAAATATGAAGCCGTGTTCCAGATGAGAGATTTTTGGAAAGGAATCTGTTCTCCAAAGCTTAGATGATATTTCTATACCAAACATTTAATTCAACAAAGGATCGATTACATCAAAAGTGATCGAATTGGAACAGAAAGTAAACAAAAATGCATATTCAAGAGAGTTTAATATGTATTTTTCTGAATTAGAAAGAATCACTTTCTGAAATGGATGAGAATTTCTAGTGTAACGAGCCACGACTCCCTCCCCCGTCACCGAGTTACATTATTTGTACATATCATACAGAGCCCATTGCGGTTGGAAACAACAATAGCAAAATAAATGTTTAATAGATACAAAGGATCTTTTCTCCACAACATAGGGTTTGTTGGTTTTTTTTTCCTGGTGCCTGCACACCAAGTTTAAAGTAATTCTCTGTTAGCATTAAACTATTTTAAGTGCAAAACAATTGTGTTGTTTGTTTAAAAATCTACGATTGCAGCATCCATCTTCCTGAATTAACATTTTGAAGCCAGAAAGTAACGACTTTCACTTGCTGTGAGTGCATTCCAGGCCGTCTTCGAGCCACCTCTGGTTAAAAAAATCAGTGCAAAAAAGAAACAATGGTGAAAGTACTCGTTTAACCATTGAACTTACTTGGATTTAAGAA